ATAAAACTTGAACCAGCCAGTTAGGGATGGTCATAGAAAAGTCTAGTCGCATCATTTCAAAATTCAAATGCATTTTATAGTCAGACATAAATCATTAAATGAATCTGTGAGGCTTACCTTCAAATTAAAAATGCAGACTATCTGGGTTGGCATTAGGCATTCTGTATTTCAGATGTACAACTTATTTCCATATGGCAGTTAGTTGATTGAGAGATTAACAGGCATCTGAAGAAACAATATTTCAGCTTGTGCAAAGTTCCAGTCTATAACATAATACAGAATCCTCCCTAGAGTAAACACCCTCATTTTCTTTTACTCAGCAAGTTCTGTTCTAGCTAGCTTGTCAAACAGTAGATCAAAAACATCCATGAGGAAGAAACGCCAAGTTAGTTCTTCACTAAGAATAAGTCCTAGTTTAAGATCTCTTTGATAGTATAATAATGTTAGCAGACTCTCTGTAGCAGGTACTATTATCAGTGTCTTCCATGTGTTAAATCAAGTAATCTTCACAACGAGAGATAGGTACCCTTCCTCCCATTTTGCAGTGGGGTAACTGAGGCACAGAGTTATGTACCTTGTCCAAGTCCACACCACTAGATCTCTACTTCCTTGATTTCTGGGAGAAGCCAGAAGGCAGGTGTTGCTTTAGAGCATTGTGGCTGTCTTTAGGCTTGGTACCAGGTAGCTGCCTTATTTGTGACCATTTTCTAATGTGATACCTTCATGCTTCATGAACTTAACCTCCGTGGGTAACAGCTACCATCTGAGTGATCTCTCTGAGTTGTGCCTAAGAGTTAGTCCACGTTATCTTATTTACTTCTCACAAGCCAGAAGGTGAGTTCTATTGTCTGTTTTCTAAGTCTGTTTCTGTTCCAAGTATAAACTTAAGCAACTTGCCCAAGTCCTACCATTAACCTGGAGGTGACTACACCTGTGTCTAGAGTTGGCATTTTTCCTCCTCCACCATGCAGTTTTGTATAGATCTATCTGATGTGAACCCATATGATAATGAATTTGTTCTAATTTGTTTCAGTGAGAATACAGATTTATAACAATGTTATTTTCATCTTCTAAATGAACAGAGTGAAATTTCCATGGTTATAGCTGCAAAGCACTTTCTGGAGAAAGACTGAAGATTTCATCTTAGAAGAATATTGATACCCTTCAGAGAATCACTTGGTCATGGATCTTATTTTGATTGTATTTTAGGTCCACGGTGTGGTGAATGACACGATAGCATTTGTGAAGAACATCATTACCACAGAACTGAACAGTGCAACAGATAATCCTGTATCTTTTGAATGGTAGAATTCCAGCTGGTAATTTGAAGATCTGCTGAAGCAATCATTTTAGGTAGCACCTCAGGTCTTTCACTTCATTTCATAGAGTAAATGAATTAGTAGCTGAGGCTCAGGGGTTAAGTGTCTTTCTCCAGGTCAGAGCTGGTAAGTAGCAGAGGCAGCCTGTGAACCTGCTCTCAGGTTCCAAGTCTAACATGCCATGCTTTCAAGATTGACCCAGTCAAGATGAAAGGAGGTATTTTCAGCATTGGCTGAAAGCATTGTCATGAAGACATTTGCCCTAAACCCCACCACAGAGGTTGTTGATGGAAGGACCATGTCACAAGTGTGATTGTGTTGGCCTTCAAATATGCAGGCCATGCTGGTCTTGGTCCAGGATGCATTAAACAGAAGGCAACCTTTTTATACTTTGATGATGCCAAAGTATTATCAAAGAGTCATTTCTGACATGGGCTTTACTCAAATCAGTGTTTCCACATTTATATGAAGAATAGTGGAACACTTCCATTTCTCAAAGGTGGAGCTCTCCTTTCCTCGATGGTGGGCTTATCTATCTCAGGGCCATCTGGGTTTTGCTATGAAATGTTCTGTGATGGCTTAGTTCCCCAGAAGTTGAGGTGACCAGTCAGGAGTCACACTGGCAAAGTCTTCACAGAGACAACACTGCCTTTGAGGATGACCAAACCCTTTAGGAGTTTATTTTTCCTATTCTACATCTCAGTTCTCAACACTGGAGAAAGTTCTGTGTTAGCACCCCTGAAAGCAGCTCACAATCTGGGTTAGCAGACAGGTTTCACAGTGGCTGTGTAAGGTTTTAATACTTAATCCAAAAATCTCACAAGAGATTTTTAATGTGCCTTCCCTGACAAGCCTACTTCAGGGCGTGTTTTATGTTCTCTCATATTGTGTTACAGGTAAGACAAACCCATGCGAAAGTAATCCTCAGGATCGTGGGTCTCTGAACTCACCTCACCACCACCCTACTTCCCAAATGGAGTGGTAGTTTTCATGAACTCTGTGCAGTCTTATCTCATGTAGCAGTTCTAGCACTGTAGGGGAGAGGTATCCATTCTACACCTACAAAATTTGAACTTTGAAGGGTATCTTATAGAGTAAAAAGAAAGTTACTATTAAGTTACTGGATATGGGGGAGGAGATAATTGCCTACTAAATTCTCCCACTACTTGTCCCAACAAGAATTTCAGCCCAAAGTCCTTTACTTCCTCAATTAAAAATTTTAAATTATTGCTGAATTTCCACTAGGCTAATATTTGGGAGTTCTGCTGCAATATTGGTGTTATCTGAAAGAAAATGTTTCTCAGTTTTCTATTGCAGACACAGAGCCCCTATCACATAGTGCTGGATATGATAGGAGTTAAATTCTAATCGCTATAATCTAATAGCCAGCGAACAAATTTGGAACAACTGGAGGACAATAGAACATGTTTACATTCTAAATTGGTGCAGAGATCAACTGCTACAGGGATTCAGAAAATGGAGAGAAGACCAGGGCCTGAGAGCAGGAGCTGGGCCTAATAGGCCCACAGTTACATATACAGAAAAGAGTAACTCCAAACTTGACCACATGCATGTAACACATGCATCTCCAACTCTTTGAAAGCCAGAACCTTTTTCACACACATAGTGAGTTCCCAGTTAACAGATGGTAAATACTCTTTAGCCCAGTAGGTGAATAGTAGCTCTTTGGAGCGAGGAAGAAAAATGTGTCACTGCCTTTGCCTGGGGGTGCCTGTTGGTTTAAGTAAAATGCATGATAGGATGAATGGGATTATCTCTGACAGTAATAATATTCAGTAGATCTAAAGCTGCCTCATATTTAAATAGATTCGGCCACCATTTGCTATTGAACACTGGCACAGGATCACTATATGAGTATAGAGTTTGAAATTTTTCCTGGAATTAATTGTTCCAGACATTTTGGTTGTTGCTCATTAGCAAAGTCTTCCATTCAACAGATTCTTCTATGGAGCACAAGTTCACAGTGCCCACTGAAGAAATAGTATTTGCTTTCAAATGGGTGTCCTGGTCTCTCTTCTTAGTTTCAGGTTATAAACCTTTTGAGGGTAAGTGCTAACCACCAGATTAGTATTGTTATGGTGCCTGAGAATCTCTGATTTCAAGTGGAAACATCATTTAGTGCTCCATGTTTCTTGGCCCCTAATTATGTGTACATGATTCATTTTTAAGGTGTTTTTGGTTTTTTTTTTTTTTTTTTTTTTTTTTTTTTGCTACTGTACCCCTTGATGTTAACACTGCTTGTTGGAAGGCCCTTCTCTTTCCCTCCACTCCACAACTGTACAAGAACTGCCACCTCAACATTAAAAATAAGTCCGTTGGGAAGGAGTTATACCTGAAGGGATCAGTAAATGTTATGTTCGAGCCTTAACCTGTTTTGAAAGATGGTCTTTGCCAGTAGGGGAGAGACTATTTCTGGAGGAAACTTCCATGGTGAATACCCAGCCAAAGTAAGTTTGTTAGACTTGCTCTTGACCCTGAAAGCATATTCTAATGTAGGACAACTAAATAGAGACATTCTTTCAGGCCCTGGACTATTTGGCCATTGGCATCCATGAACTTGCTGCGATTAGCGAAAGAAGAATTGAAAGGCTCTGTAATCCCTCCCTCAGTGAGCTGCCTGCCTTCCTGGTGGCTGAAGGTGGTCTGAACTCTGGGTTCATGATAGCCCACTGCACAGCTGCGGCCCTTGGTAAGGACACTGCCCTTTTCCCAGAACACAAGGCTGTCCATCTAAGGGCCTTTCCATTGACAACTGAAAGTATCAAATTTTGTCTTTGAATGAGATCTAACTTTGCCACTTCTATTGGCATTCTACCTCTCTCAGTACAAATGTAGCAGGTCGACTCTAAAGTTTTTTAGAAAAATAATATAAAATAAAACCTAAATAATGTTATACTGGAACATAATAATACAATAATGCATTTGTAAATAGATCATTTCTCTACGGAAAGCAAGTTGACATTGCATACAAACTTTATTTCTATAGTTTTTTTCCAAATCTCAGTGTGAAGACTATGGGAAGGAAAAAGACAAAGATGCTTATAAATTAGCAGTGAAACTTGAACCAACCTGAATGACTAAACTCTGAATGCATTCTACTAGACATACGAACCACTAAACACATTGAGATGTTCTTGTAGCATGCAAAATTGCTTATAAGAATTCATGTACCCTCTATGAAAATTGAGCTTCTATATAGCTGATTTCTGACTCAAGATTGTAAGGGACAGATGATTAACACATAAGAACAGTGCCTGGACTATGCAGTAAATGCTAAGGGTTTTACTTATGTTCACTCCCAGAATTATCACACCACCACCACCAGGTAGGTACTATTCATTTACAGCTGAATACCTGAAGACCTGAGAGGATAAGTGACTTGCCCAATACTGCACAACTAGTAAGATGTACAGCAGAATTCAAATCCAGGTATATTTGGGCTCCCAGGGGTGTGCTCTCATTTCAGTTAATGAGGATCTCATTTCAATCAATACTTAATCCAAAAACAGGGTTGCCAAGTTTAACAAACAAAAATGCAGGATTCTTAGTTAAGTTTGAATTATTTGGGGCATACTTATACTAAAAAAGTATTTGCTTTTTTATCTGAAATTCAGATTTAACTGGGCATCTTGTATTTTGTCTAACAACCCTCCCCTACAAGGCAGGATGACCTGGTAGTTAGTTAAGAGCATAGATGCTGGATATAAATCCCTACTATGCGTGAGGTATTGAGCAAGCCTCTTAATCTTGTTGATCCTCAGTTTACTCCTGCATGAAATGGGGATGATAAATCTACCTAATGGGGTTTTGAAGATTAAATGAACTAATACATATAAAGCCTTAGAACTGTGCCTGGCACATCATAAGCACTAAATAAGTATTAGTTGCTCTTAATATGACTACTAACCCCTTCCTCACCTAAGCCTTTACTAAAAAACACAACCAACAAAGAGCTACTGAATTCACCTTCACCTCCAACCCAGTATTTGCTCACCTGCCTGCTTATTAAAATACCTCTTTAAAGGGTACAGACTTTTGAAGGTAACATGGTAGCAGGGGGAGGGTAGTTGATTTCTAGGGAACATTGCAGACATTGGCAAGCCTCCTTTGGATGTGTTCAGCTTCCCAAGCTGCCTGTTGAAGTTGTTCAGCTTGCTTTCATTGTAACAAAAATAGTGTTTTTCTTTTTTTGGCCACTTGTAAGTTATCTTCCTAAATAAGCCTCACCACAGACTTCTAGCCCTCAGTTTAGTTTCCCAGGACTTAGGGCTTATAGTTCTGAAACCTGGAAAGTCCTGGGCAAACCAGAATGAGCTGATTATCTAGTTTATAACTAGATTATCTCAGGTTAGGATCCCTTGCAGCATAGAAAACAACAGAAGCTTCACGCAGGACCTCTCTCAAGGTCAAAGAGAGGAGAAAAGACTTTGAGTTTGACCTTTCCTGACGTCTGAGTCTGGGGAGAAGGAAATTTGTAATCTGGGTCCCTGCTACTTAAAATGTAATCCTTGGACCAACAGTATGGCCATCACCTGGAAGTTTGTCAGAACAGCAGAATCTCAGACCTCATCCCAAGCTCGCACTGTAACAAATCCCTGAGTGATTCACATGCACCATGAAGTTTGAGAGGCCCCAATCTAAGCCATCCCTAGGATTCCCCTGCCTCCTGGAGATTTCTCTGGCAGTCATCAAGCCCTTGCTTAAGTCCACAATATCCATTATGTCGTCATTGAACAGTCTGAATTGTTAAATCTTCTTACCCACAATCTGTGGGTCCAGCCTCAATCCCCAAATGCCACACCTGAATTCTCACCCTGCCTCTTTTGGTGACATAACCAGCCAAATTGTTCTCAAGTTCCTAAAAATAGCCATCATGTCTTTTTTCCCTGTTTCTCTGGCATGCTAAATGCTTCCAGTGTTTTCAACTTGGCCTTTGTAGGGTTCCCAGCTCCTCATCCTGGTTTTATTTCAGAATTCACTATAGCCTTAGAGTCCTTCTCACTTTGGGGAAAAATCAACCTGCTTCCTTCTCCCAGGAACATCTTTGTACCATCTTGGATAATGGCCAAGAGCTCCTGGAGAGGAGCACCCCATGCTGTGCGGCACTTTGAGGAAGTCATGTGTCCTTTTGGCACTTGATCCTATCAGGAGCCTCCTTAACTCCCACTGGTGTCTTGCAGTTTCTGAGAACAAGGCTCTGTGCCACCCCTCGTCCGTGGACTCTCTCTCCACCAGCGCTGCCACAGAGGACCACGTCGCCATGGGAGGATGGGCAGCGAGGAAGGCCCTCAGGGTCATCGAGCACGTGGAACAAGGTAACACGACAAGTCAGGGATGGCAGGCTTCGCTGATTATTATGTCACTGGTTCTCAAAGTTTGTTCCACCCGTAGCATCAGCATCACCTGGGAACTTGTTGGAAATGCAGTCTCAGGCTTTCTCCCGGACATGCTGAGTCAGAAACTCTAGGGACGAGAAGGGAGCTACCTGTGTTTAACAAGTCCCCAGGTGATGCCGATACTCGCTGAAGATTAAGAACCAAGAGTATAAACCGGTTCCTCAGCTGGATTTTTTTTTTTTAATGAGACTTTTAAAACATTCTGAAGTGCATTCAGTCTTTTAACTCATTTAATTTGCTCAATGACCCTAGAAGGTGTGTACTATTATCCCATTTTGCAGATCAGGAAACCAAAGCAGAAGTTAAATAATGTGGCCGTCTACAGCTAGTAAGCGTCAATGCTAGGATTTAATCCCAGGCAGTTGATTCAAGTCTGCTGTCTTAACCTCTCCCCTATACTGCCATATTATTACAAACGATGTGCCGGCATCCTCATGGCTTATCAGACCTACATTTGCAGGATTACTCTATATGTTTTGCTGTGGAAGTTATTTCAAAATGAAATCTCTGAGTTGACTATACGTTATTTTAGTCACATCTTTGTAGTATCTGTGAAGTTGGGGATTGGGCGATGACGTAGTTGATTTGGCAAAAAAACAGGATTTATTCTGGTCTTCTAAGAGGCTTCAGATGAAAAATATCTCTTCTAACCCACCAATGGGAGAGGATGAAGTTGTAGGATCCATTGTGGACCTGGAAGAAACTTGACACCTTTTAGTCCAGAATTCTCACTTGACACATATGGAAACAGCAGTGTAGTTAAGTAAGTGTATGTAATGCACACGCTTATTTAATAGAGCTGGGGCTCAATAGCAGGATTGGGTATTCTCTCCGACTTTCTTCTCTACCCACATGACACACGCCTGGCCGACAAACCTTGATTGGAGGACATGAATGGGGGAAATGGCAGATTTTGCTAGTGTACATCAAAGTGCAGCTTCCTGGGTAAGGCAGGGGGTCTGGTAATCTATTCAGGTAAATGTCTGACTTCTCCCCTTCTTGTCATTAAAGATACAGCTAAGGGGTTAGAAAAGCAGATTTAAAATGGTAACCAAATACCAGGCAACTTCCTTCTACCAATAGACAGAGAACCAACCGCCTGTTAGTTGGCTAGTGATGGCTGTCAACTTCAAGGGATTTGTATTCCTCAAGTATGAAGTCAGACACTGACCAGCCATCCTCCTGTTTTAGTGCTGGCCATCGAACTTCTTGCAGCCTGCCAGGGCATAGAGTTTCTGCGTCCCCTGAGAACAACCACTCCACTGGAAAAGGTCTACGACCTGGTGCGCTCTGTTGTAAGGTAAAGTCAAACAGATCCCTGGAAGTCACACCATCCTCAGAACTGTGAACTTTGGCAGCACTTCGTGTTTGGCTGACGGGTTGGTGTGCTTTCTCTGCAGGCCCTGGATAAAAGATCGCTTCATGGCCCCAGACATAGAGGCAGCACACAGGCTGCTCCTGGAGCAGAAGGCAAGCTGGCTACTTGGCTTATCTTAGTTTTTGGTCATTATAAAAAGCAAAGTGCAAGGGGGTAGAGATGGAGAAATGTTGTCTTGTTCTATTGTTTTCTGGCTGTTCCTTGGAAGTGAATAAAAAGCACCTAGGCAACTGGCAAGGCCACTAGAAACCATCTGATAAACCTGGAGTTTGGGGGTAGAGATGGAGAAATGTTGTCTTGTTCTATTGTTTTCTGGCTGTTCCTTGGAAGTGAACAAAAAGCACCTAGGCAACTGGCAAGGCCACTAGAAACCATCTGATAAACCTGGAGTTTTGGGACAAGTATCTATGGGGAGAAAATAAGATAAAAGATTCACAGGTCCCCCTCCCCAAGATGTCCTCTTTGGCTCAAAAGAAGTTTCTGTTCCTGGTGATGCTGTCACCACCACCAGGTGCCATGGCTGTACAGACCCAGAGTTACAACAGAGTCCCAGGTTTATACTTCACAGGGCTTTGAGTCTGTCTAATGCTGCTCTGGCGTGTCCCTGCCCGTTTCACTGTGTGCTTGTTTCCTCTGGTTACACTGACCATAGACTCAGCTGATCGGTACAGATGCCTAGCATGCCAACTTGTCTTTTAATACAATTTTTATGTGCTCTAAACCTTTTGAATAATTTGTGGGTCTCATGCTCCCTAGAATCACTTGATTGCCCTCAGAACAGTTGCTCTGCTCTTAAGAATAAGATCTTCACACCTGTCGTTTCTAAGTGCGTTCTGCATCCATTAGGGGGCAGTCACTTGCCTGCTGCAACTTTGGTGCTAGCAGAGAGGTGTGTGAGGTTCACCCCTGAAAGAATAGGTTTTTTAAGGTAATACAAAAGAATAGGAAGGGCTCCTTGCCTGGCAGCAATCAGAAAGAAGCAGCTGTAAACCAAAAACAGAGCCTTAATCTGAGATGATGTTATGCTCAAAAGAGAGTAGGTTGGTGGGTGGAGGCAAAAACTAACCAAGGATCTGAGGCAGTGCTTCTCACACCTTAAAGTGTGAATCTCCTGGGCATCTTGTTAAAATGCAGATTCAGATTCAGTGGGGGGGGGTTGGGGGGGGGCTGAGGTTTTGACTTGTCCAGGTGCTGCTGAGGCTGCTGAGGCACAAGCCACACACTGAGTTGCAGGAGCCAAAGGCACAGAGCCCCTGTGGCATGGAAATAGAGCAACTGCCTTTCATCATTCGAGGCTTGCTTGAGAAAACACTCTGAATTGTCTAGCTTTTGTTTGTTGTTTGGTTGGTTGCTTCCTTGTTTTGCTTTGGAAGAGTAAACAGCTTAAAATCTTCATGGTAACCTTAGAAGTTTTGGACTTTGCATGTTTAAAGCTTTTAATGCAATTAAAGAATAACTGACATAGGTTATGTGTCAAATGTCTTAAAATAAAAGCAAGCAAACAGCCACTGTGTGTCTAGTTAGGCAGAGGATGTTCTGACTTGGGAGGAGGCTGGTGTTTAATTGCACGTGTGGAAACAGTGTCATCAGTGTTTCAACTTTCTTCTGTCCTTACTTCTCAGGTTTGGGAAGTAGCCTCGCCATACATCGAAAAGTATAGAATGGAGCATATTCCAGAATCCAGACCTGTTTCTCCAACAGCCTTTTCACTAGAATTCCTACACAAGAAATCCACCAAAATCCCAGAGTCCGAGGATCTGTAATGGCCTTTGTCATGGATTAGCAGATCAGATGCCACTTAGTTTAACACAAAGCAGTATGGTACTGAAAGAGAAACCTGAGAATTTTCCTAGGTAGATCAATCCATTACACAAGGGTACTTCAAAAAGCCTGTGGAAAGATTAATATTATCTTTCGATTCTATTTTCCCTCAAACTTTTTAAGGTACCCTCATGTGAGTTAGTTTTTCTGAAACCTACTTTGGTTAGGCTGGTGGCAGTGTTATAGTTGCTAAATCCAGCACTGTTGCCATTGTTCAAGATGCACCAGGTGTTTTCAGTTTATAGGAGTTTTCTTTTTTTCTTTGGGGGAGGCGGGTAGGTGGCCTGTACAGGAATCAAACCCTGGACCTTGGTGTTACCAGCACCATATTCTAACCAACTGAGCTAACCATCCAGCCCTGGGTTATAGGAGTTTTCTTTCTTTCTTCACCGTATCAACAGGCCACTCACTCTTAAGGGCAAGAAGAAGACCCACAATTACATGGGTCTGTTTTTTATACTTAGCATCAGATGAACTCAAATTCAGAAACAGATTGATAGCATTCTTTTCTAAAAAACGTTAGGCTTTTGTAAACCTTATTTTTTTTTTTATTTGCTTTGACAAGCTCTCAAACAGTTCACTTTCCTGGCTGATTGTACCCTGCCATAATATAACAAATGTTTCTTAATATGCCTTCATAAGTAACCATGTTAAGTCATAATTTGTTCTTAAGCTGCTCTTTCTTCTAGTAATTGAATCATAATAAAGAGTAGTCAGTAGGTTTTCAGCAGATAAATAAGAGTTGGTTAAAACCAACAAGAGGTTTTATATGGAAAGGAGTTAAGAAATGACTATAAAGATTGCTATTTGGGTGGCCCTTATTTAACTGTGTATTTCATATGTATAAAATATCACTATACCGATCCCCCAAAATGCTTAATTTTATCGTATACTTAAATTGGGGTTTGAGGTTACTCTATTTACATTCTTATAGTAATGTTGCGTGAGAAGCTTCCTCGTTACACACGTAAGGAATCCGCGGGGTCGTTGACCAACCTCCTCCCTGAAATGGTAATCATTAAAATGATCCCTATTGACAAAGGTCAGATGGGCCCTAGGAAGTGTTACCCAATCTGTTTTTTCCCCCAAGAAGAAGATAAAAGACCTTCTGGGAAGGTTTAAGTGTAATTGTCCAAATGAAAAATGGGTCAGATGGCCTCTTGGCTTCCCATGACTGTGATCTGTGACTGTGTCTCCATCTATACAAACGTGCATGAGCGCTGCAAGTGCAGGAGTTTGAAAACATGGCTCTTCGAAACTGCAGGTGGTCAAGAAAAAGACACGCTTGCCACCTTGCCTACCTGATAACAGTCTAAAATAGACCCAACAGTGCATTTCATGATAGAGTTTTCACTCTTTAGATTGCAACCGGGCAACAGGAAAGGTGGAGACCAAAGTGAAAAATGCTACCTAAAGTCATTCGGGAGCAAAAAAATATGCTGATGAATCTGCTTACCTAAAGGGTGTTCTCGGTGCTAGGCTCTGCTGAAATACGACACACACTGAAGATTATTCATTCTTATCCATGAGCTGCTGTGGGGCCAGTGAACTCGTCTGATGGCTGCTCTTCACTCTGGTTTGGGGAGTGCTGGGTCTCCCATCGCTACCCCCCATCCCCTGAAGTTCTCTGGGGGCTTTGTCACTGAGTTTCTCTATGGCTCTGTTAGTAACTGACATCACATGTCTTCAAGACAATTTCAAGGTAAATATGGAACAAACTAAGTCTCACTGTCTCCTGTTGTCACTTTATTTATTCTTAGATTTGTGTAACAAAGTTTAACACCTCTTTAGGGAATGGCTATTCTAACTGCAGTTAATCAAGTTTCTGAAAGATTCAGTCAACAAATGTTAACACGTTTGAGAAGATGTGATTGACTCAGTACACTTTTTTTTTTTTTTTGGCAGTAGTGATTCCTTTATTATCAATACTCTAAATGTAACTGAATTAAATTCTCCAATCAAAAGAAATGAAAAGGGGCTGGCCAGTTATCTGAGTGGGTTAGAGCACAACATTGTTAACAGCAAGGTTGTGGGTTCAGTTCCCAGTAACAGCTGCCCAAAAAAAAAAAAAAGGAAAGAAAGAAAGAAAAGAAAAAGAGTTGGCTGAATGGATAAAAATAAAGATCCAACTGCATGCTGCCTATAAGAGACTCATTTTAGCTTTAAGGACACACATAGGCTGAAAGTCAAGGAATGGAAAAAGACATTTCATGCAAATGGTAACCAAAGGAGTGCAGGGTGATTATTCTTATATCAGATAAAAGAGACTTTAAGTCAAAAACTGTAAGAACAGACAAAACAGGTCATTATTTAATGATAAAAAGGTTAATTCATCAAGAGAATATAACAATTGTAAATATATATTGATAGAGTTTGGACGTGTTGTCCCTGCCAAAACTCATGTGGAAATCTGATCCCCATTGTGGTAGTGTTGGGAGCTCTTTGAGTCACTCAGTACACTTTCTGCCTCTTTCCCACTGGGTAGCAACAAGAGTTGGATGTACCAGGATTTCCTCCCCCAGTGGGCTCACTTGGGCCTCTTCCCACCTGGGCTGTCTCAGGGAAGTCAGGCCAAGCCCCAAAGTGCAAGGACTTTTCAAGTTTCTGCTACGTCATGTTGCTAATGTCCTGTTGGCCAAAGCAAGTCATATATCAAGCCCAGAGTCAATTTGGGTGAGTAGTGCTTAAGGGCATGGGCCAGTGATTTAGTGTGATTCATGGGCCATTACCTAACAATCTACCTACCACACACAATCCTGTACATAACCTGAAAAATGCAAAAAAAAGATACTTTTCATACTACTTTAAATTGATGTCTTATTTCTGGGTCTGGTCATTGGATTAATATATTTTTATGGAACTTTAATTATAAATAGCACGGTCATTTTGCCTTTTTGAATACTTTTGTTAAAGGTTTTAATTTACTAAATAGAAACACTGAAAATATACCAAAAAACAAAGAAAAAAGTTGGAAGACATTTGTCTCAGTTCAGAAGGTAGGCCTGATTAGTCAAAAGGTGGTCCTGTGTCCTTTGCTTAGTGATTAGTTCAAGAAAGGGCTGGGATTGTAATATGGGTCAATGAGACAGAGATTTCTTAGAGGATCCAAAGAAGGGGTCTTTTCTCCTGAGAGTCATGGGAAGCCATCCTTGTCTACTCCCTGCTTGACCTGAATGAACAGGGACAGAATATCGAGGGTTGTTGACAGAGGCCAGACCCAGGGCAAGAACCAGCCTTGGGATGACGCATCAATCGGTGGCAGCACGAAGGGAGAGAAGGAATCTGGGTCTTTGACATCATTGAGCTTACAGATAAACCAGCCCTGAAGCCTGCCCTACCCATGAATTTCCAAGTGTGAGCTAATACACTTCCTTATTTTTTAAAAGCAAATGTTAGTCAGGTTTTTGATACTTGCAGCCATTAGCATCCTACCTAACACAGCCACTGTGTGTGAGATGTTGTACCAGGGCTGTGGTGTATCCACTATCGCTGGCAGTCCTCTATTCAAGGGCTTCCCATCTCATTGGACTCAGACTGTGGCAGGTTCTGCACCAAGCATGTGTCCTAGAGGAAGGCAGTACAACTGCAAAACTGTTGGATCATCGGGGAGGCCTCCTGGAAGAGGTGACTGAGCTGGACTTTGCAGGATGGAAGTCAGAGAGAGAAGAGAGAAAAAGGAGAAATGTAAGCTAAATTTCAGTGTCAGAAGACCATCAAGCCAGGAAACCATGGAAGTGGTGATTTCCATGTTTGGTCAATTTCTATCATTAAATAAATGGTGATCAAGGTGACCATGGTCCTTGCCTTCACAGTTTTTGGTCTAGGCAGTGGGCCAGAGGAATAAACAAACAATAGTGTGCACAGGTAGTACGATGAAAGGCCAGGTCACGAAGAGCATAATTCATGCTCATGGTATGGTAGGGGAAGCAAAACTCTACCAGCACAGAACAACTCCGAGATCCAGAGGGTGCATGAGCAGGGACAGCTGTGGCTCAATGGTGGTTTCTACCATCTGGGTGGCAGGTGCCCGATGCCTGCCGTACCCTCAGTAGAACCACTTGGAAAGCATGTGGCCTCATAATTTGGAATAACTTCCCAGCAGGAAAAAAAAAAAATTCTCCAAGCGGCTGGCATTGGCTTTATCCTTCCTCTGCTTACTATGATAAAGAGCAAAATGCTCATGCTTTGGGGAAAATCTGGTAAAATGAAATTAAATAAGAAAATTAGTACATTTCACCAGAGTGTTATTCTTTTAAGACAGTAAGCTCTTAATACTGCGTGGCATTGATTCTACTCTCCAATGTCTGTCTTACTGCCCTGATTAAAGGCAGGGACCAGCTTAGAACCAGAATTTTAAAGATGGGGGAATCCAACCTCTCCATTTTATAGACAGATAATAAAGAATTCACGGTGAAATCTTGTGTCCCTTTCAGCATACCAGGTTGCCTTGCCTGTCTCTCGCAGCATCTACTGCATGCATTCTCGACTCAATGGGTGTGACATTGTCCCCAAAGGGACAAAACTGAGTTTTGGGGAGGCAAAAAAAAAAAAAAAGAAAAAAAATTACATATTACAATGGTTTGTGGTCCTCCAAAGCTCAACTCTACCCAACAAAATCTTATTTCTTAGAGAGAAATTTAGTTTTTCTCCTGGGATGGGCCAGTAATTTTTAAAAAGTGAGAAAAGAAATGTTGATCTAGCCCAATGTGGGGCACAGAGTAGTGATTTTCAGATCTTACTGTGCCATTGTGAAAGCTTTCCACTTGGACTTCTAGCACCTGATACCTTCCACTTTCCCCACCAAAGGACTTGGTCAGCTTTGTAGGTATCTTCTTGGAGCCCAACCACACAACAAATATTTGAGGGCCTACTATGTGCACTAAAGCTGGATTAGTATTTCTACAGCACTCTTGTCCTGGTCCTCCCTGTTCAAAAACTTTCAGTGGCTTCCCCTGGCCTTAAGGATGAAGTTCCAAGTAGTGAGCCTGGTATTCCAGCCCTGGGAAATCTGACCCACCTAATTCTACAGCCTCAGCTCCCCACTGAATTCTCTACTCTGGGAGGACTCAGTGCCTGTCTCCTGAATACTTCATGACTTTTCGTCTTGGAGCCTTTCCCTCTCATTTAAATCCTTCCTAGTCTTCAAAGCTGAGAATGGCAACTCCTTTTCCACCCTCCATCATGGAATTGTTTGGTTGGTTTTACTTTTACACTTTACTCCCCATAAGCATCAACCTTTGGCCTTATATTAAGGAATTCATATGTTCTTTCCAACCCACAGAATAAGTATTTGCCTTAACACTGCATCCCTGGGTTGGCCTGCTTAGCAGTGTATTTTGACAAGCAGTTTTCACTGTGACTATCTATGTTTGTGCAGTCATTCATTAATTCATTCACTGATCATCTGCCATGAACCAGTCACCATACTAGATTCTGGAGACATACAACGTCCCTGCCCTCTACGAACTCCCCACCAAATGGGAAAGATGTTTAAATTACAGTGTCGTAAAGGCTATCATAGAGGTGTGGGAACATGCGGGAGAGGCAACCAGCTCCAGCTTCCCACATACAGAAGAGAGGAAAAGCATTCCAGGCAGAGGGAACAGCACTGCAAGGCCTGGAGCAGCTAACCAAATGATGTGTTTGAGACACAGTGAGAAGGTTGGTGCCACTAAGGTCTATACCTCCACACTTCTCAGACTTTAATGGACAGGTGAATTCCTTGGGGGCATGTGAAAATGCAGATTCTGATCCTGCAGATCTGGAATAAGGTGGAGATTTCACATTTCTAGCAAGCTGCGGTGAGTTACAAGGGCTCACAGCACACTGGCCTGGGAGAACTAGGGCAGTTAAGGGTGACTACCCTCTCCTGCTTCATTCAAGAGTGGCACGAACGCTACTTGTTTAGAATGAATGCCTCCTGGAAGGAAAACAGGAAGTACTCTGCCTTCTCTCTCATTCCTTAGATGTAAGGCTGTAATCCTGTGTGGCTTGGGCTCCAGGGCAGACCTGACATTTTGTTTTGGTCTTTATGTTGATCTCCTGCATTTATCTCTCACCACTGACCTGGCAACTGGTCACAGGAGAGGCATCGCCCAAAGCAATCATGAGCCCCCCTGACCCACTCAAGACTCCTTTTGTTACCAGACAGCAGTTCCAGTCTTGGTCAAACCATGGAGGAGACCCTTTTGTGAAAGCAAGTAAAACAAAAGGAAGAGGGATAGACCTATGGAACATTTAAACAATAGGACTTAATTGAAAGGTGAAAGTACACACAGAAGGGTGCATAGGCATCCTCCATCAGGAAGAAGTGCCCTGTGGATCCTTAAGGGGAGGGTTTATATGTTGTTCTGGGACGTGGGTGTTTCTCTGTCTTAAGGGGAGGAATATTTGGCCATGGGGGAAGATCTAGGGTAATT